TTACACTGGCACAGTTGCTCCTACCGAAATTGGTACCAGTTTTGGTGACTTTGATGAAGCACAAGAAGAACGGCAATTGCAATTGCTTGCCACAGTTGGTCCTACCGAAATTGGTACCATCAATGATGATGATCTTCCATCAATTGGTCAGACAGCAGACCCTGCAATGGCACCCACAACACCGAGTGAGTCCCCAAACAACATGACATTGATTATCATCATTGTGGTAGTTGTTGTGGTAGTGTTTCTGGTGGCTGTTGGGGCATTTGTATTTCTGAGGAGTAAATCGAGCTCTCGCGATGGCAAATTGCCCAAAAACGAACCAGAAGGAGAACCAAATGCTCCCGAAGACATGACCAAGAGTATATCAATGCAGCATGGAGCCCCTCTTGGGAGTGACGAATCAGAACGAGTGTCACAACAACCTGCCAGAATCCCGGATTCCGTGTTGGAGGTTCCTGATGCTCCTACTGGTGGTGCTGTTTGGGACCGAACTTTGATTGAACTAAAGAGGGAGGGTGTAAATGATGTTGTGGGGGATGATGCACCCATGACGGTCACAGCTGTGCTTCATCAGCCTGAACCAGTACCGATAGCAATTCACCAATCCGAGGCTCTTGATCAAAAGAGAAGGATCAGTGATCGCTCTGACCGTCGACGTGGTAACAAACAAGGGGACATGGTCCCTGTGGCCAAAGCTGTGCCTTTCGATGAAACCCTGTCTGAATCCCCACCAGAACCACCAGTAGACCAAAGATATCTCCGGGAGAAAGATGATCTCTTTGAAGCATAACGAAGGAATCTGGTAGGGGGTCAAGTTGAAGAGTTGATTCCACAATCGCTGGATTGCTGGCCATTACTGCCGCAACTGGTACATGTATTTTCATATGCATGCTCTCCACGTCGTAACTCCTAGACAAACTATTCAATCGCAGCTTGTGTGGCGTACAGTATCATTGTCTTCCACTTTCCTCTCCAAGCGTCCAAATTGGTAGTAGCCCTCCTTGACAAGCTAGCCAGCCAGATGGGGTGGAGTCCTGGCTTGGCCGAGTAGGATAATTCCCCCTGCTAGTAGGATGCCCGCAAATAAATCTAGGCTGGAATATCGCCAAGGATGCAGCTCCACAACACCTTGCCGTCGTCTCCGCGATTCTTTTCGGATCCGCAGCGATCTCCTCGCTCGTACAGAGGTCTCCTTGAGAAGCCAGCGACAAGGAGTCCTGACTTGTCCGAGTAGAACTCTTTCCCAAAGGTTCCTTCCTGAAAAAGAAAAAAAGAAATCCTGTCCGCAGTCCGCAATACTGCCGAATTCAGCCCCCTAACACCCTCCCACCGTCTCTGCGCTTCTTTTCGGATCCGCAGTGAGCCCCATGCTCGCAGCCTCTCCACGCTACATGTATTCACGTATTCACAGGTGGCTCTTGAAAACAGGGTTCTCCGGTGCGATGCATGCACCTGGTTATTGGAACCAGATCTTATATCTTAGTTGGAATGCTCCGATTTCGAAGCAGGGTATAGCCGTATAGCCCATGTAAGAAGGAATATCAAAATGTTATAGCTTAGCTCTTCTACTAGATCAGACTGGATTTATGTGGCAACAGAACAACTGATGCCTGAGAAGCTGAGAAGCTAGCCACATACATGTGCTGGTGCTTTTCGAAAACGCTTCACGTCAAGAGTTTCTCTACGGTTGCCGCAAAAGAATCAAAGACGGAGCAAAACAGCTACTGATAGACTCTTTGCAGCTTGGAACTTGTTCAGCCCTTGCCAGTGTCCCTGAACTTTTGGGAATCGGAAGGTTCTTGACAAACCTTCCGCTCGCCAGCCAGGAAGGTAGCAGCCTTCACTGCCTCTACTGCGCTCATGTTCCGTACCGGTATTGTGTGCTGTGTGACGGAGCAGTGGCTTCTACGGTAGCTCTTCAAGAGATACTAGATTACAGGACAACAGGACAACAGCAAAAAACATACAACCCATTAAACCCTTCGGCAACTGACAGAGTACTTGCTATCACCGAAGTAACCAAAGATTACCTAGTGGTCTTGAAAAAACCCGGCAAAAGGGTCTTTTACTAGCACTGTTAAGTCTTATGCTTCGGTTGCACAGAAAGCAATCGGAAAGCATCAGTCCTGAATAGCTCCAGAATTTCGTCAGTTCTGGTTTTGGTTGAATAGCTTTTTTCAAGGCAAACGTAAGCGGTAAGAAGTAAGAAGGAGCACTTTTGAACAACAAGGAAGGGAATTCGATTGCAGAGCTATTGCAGAGGGCTCAGAGGTCTTATTGCCCGCCGGGGCCCGAGAATTCATGCCAGTACCGCAAGGCTGGCCACTGGCGAGTGAAGGGCTGTGAACTTTCTTGCCCAGACTGACAGAAAACAGAAAGCCTCCAAGTTCGTACCAGATACCAGGTACTACCGGTACCACTACTTCTTTTGCTCTTCTCTTGTTCAGCTTTTGTAGCTTTTGTTCAGGCAGTACTAAGTCTTACTAGCTGTCTTACTCCAGGAGCTCTCCAGGAGTCCACAGGGTCTTCGCCGTCTTCACCGTCTTCGATTCGCGCCTCTTTGAATTTCCACAGAACAAAAAAGAAGGCGAGTCAAATTGCAGAGGGTCTGAAGGTCTTATTGCGTGCTATTGCCAGAGAATTCATGCCCCATAAGCCCACATACATATATATTTATAAGTGCAATAAGCTCACATCAACCTGGTCACTGGTCTCTTCAAACTGGCGAGAACTTCAAGCGACGTTTGAAGTAAGTGCTCTGAAAGACTCTTACTCTCTTACTGTACCTTTTCTGCCCCCACAGCCCCACAGCTTACCTACCAGATAGGGTTTTCTTAGCTGTTTTGTTCATACCGGTATGAAGCAAAGAGTGAAAGAGTGAAGTTTGTTCAGGAGGTGCGATCTCAGATCCCTCAGCTCTCACAATCCAAAAAACCAAAACAACCAAACCAGTTGGAAACCCAGCAGTTTATTTTTTAAAACCTAATCTAATCACACCACCATGAGCTCTCAGATTTTTAATACTGATGCCGTCACTTTGGAAAGTCTGATCCGACAAAACAACCGTGCCATCCACATGCTGCGTTTGTCAGACTACTCCAGAGCCACCAAATTGCTCTGTTCAACGGTAGCTGGTCTCCAGCAGTTGGCCGACGAGACCCATCACCCTGATGACGACGACGATGACGACTGGATGGAAGATAACGGAATCTCGTTTTTCTATTCCTTGGACTTGCAGCAGCAACAGCAACCACAAGGTGAGGAGGAGCAGCAGCAGCAGGTCTTTCGAGCTCCCATTCGGATTGCTTGCTTTGATGGCTTGGGTCTTTGCGGCTCTGTTCCCCTCTTGAATCGCGTCTCATTTGCAGTGGTGTACAATCTGGCATTGGCATTCCATTTGGGAGCACTTGCGGAGTCCGATAATGGCCGTCGTCGCCAACGACTGACCAAGGCACTCAACTTTTACACAGTGGCCCTAAGGCTGGCAGAGGCCGCGCCCCGGTCTAGTATTACTAGTGGTGCGAGCTCACTGGGAGGATTCGGAAGCATGGAAGCCTTGGCCATTGTGAATAACCAGGCTCAGATTCATCAAATCTTTGGGGCCAGCCTCAAGTCCGACGAATGCCACACTGTCATGCTCAGCCACATCATGTACACCAGCATCGCCACTGGTGGACAGCCCTTTCGAGACGAAGAATCCCTAGGTGCATCGGCCATGCAGTCCTGCCTGGAACAGTTTCTTGCCAACGCCACCCAAAAATCTCGTTGTGCCGCCCAGGCGGCGTAACCCGGCACTTGCCAAGTGCGAACACCCTTCCAAGTTTCCTTACAGTACATTCTTTTTTGGTAGCGAGCATTGGATATATACTATGAGTAATCCTATAGATTGAATATCCTTTTTAAAAGCATGGATTACGTGCAGAAGCATCTGTTCCTGTAGTGTCCGTCCAGAAAATCACTGCTGTGCATGCACCCCACCCTAAAAGAGCCAAGACAATACTACTAGCTAGTTGTACCGGTACTATCGGGACCTTTGCAGCTCACACTCAGCGAATCCATTGGCTACCGTACCTATGCATAGATTGCTTGATGTGCTAGCTATCTTTGCTTCGCCATCTGCTCAATCAGCTTGGGAACGCCAGCCGCCAGGATCCCGCTCGTGGTCAAAATCAGCTTCCTGTGGACCCAGTGCCGCTACATATCGTTCGCCGTGTCCTTTGTCGAGGTGCAGCCAAGCCGGCCTCCACCAGGCATTCGCCCCTTGCGTCCCACAGTACAGTACGTACGTGCGACCTGTCAGCGCCATCACAGCTGCGATGCCGTACCTGGCACATGGTACTTGGCAAGAGCAGCCGGCTTTACACCGTTCGTCGTTTCGTTCTTGCTTGTGCTGCATCATCCATCCAAGCAAGCAAGCAAGCACCTCGTGGTCACTGGCGCTCATGCTTCGAGTACTGTAGTCTAATCCACAGCTAAGAATAGATACTTGGCGGGTGCAGACGGCTTTAGCTCTTGGACGCAGTCGAATGCAGTACTGTAACCCGCAGGATGTCCAAGATTTTTCCGTCGCCCCTGGAGTCTGGGTTTCTATTCGTGATCCTGTCTTGGATATTGAGAAGACATTGTGCGCAATTGTCAGCAACCTAACAATATTATTGCTATTTGAATCTGTTGGCTCTTCCAAACATGGATAGTTTGTAAAAGGTTTAACCACCGAGTTTCCATGGCCCTGTTTGGTGTGGGTAGCACCTCGATGCGTGGCTTGAGGAAAGGGTGTGGGATGGTGCTACACCATCACAGCTAGCACTAAGACCCTTCCCATGTTGATCCATCGGTTGGCTCCCTTGCCCCTTCCTTTTCATCCTCGTATCGGTAGCGTTTTGCAATCCTTTGGCTGGTTCTGAGGCAAGTAGACTTTCTTCCAGGGTCTCCTAAAGAACCCTGGAAGGTGCCTAGCTACAATTGTAACTGGCAGCGAATACTTGGACGATTTGAATAAGAGTGCATATACTAAAAGAAGCTATTGTTACAGTAGAAGATTTTGGCGTTTAAAGGAGTCAACGCCGATGGGGGCCAACGGGAAGAGGTTGGATGATCGAATGCTTGATGATTCAGAGTAGGATGGATGGATGGATGGATGGAAGTTTTTGCGTGCTGCAGCATAGAATATTTGATTGTTGGTTGATCGCACTAGCTATGCGGCTGCCGCAGAACGGGTAGAGTATGTGGCAGTGTGTAGAAAGAGATCAATGTATAGGGCCATTCGTTCCCGACTCCCATCATCGTAACTGCTGCTGTTGCCCGCGGCATACATGATGTGACTCATGAGAATTTCCTGACACTGTTGTGCCCCTGTGTAGTGTCCCAGGAGATGATAGATGTGTGCCTGATTGTTGACAATGGACAGTGCTTCCATGGACCCAGGGGCACTAATGGGTGCGGATGAGGAGGAGCTGTTGTGTCCCAAGACAAAGGCACCGTGATAAAACTGCAGTGCCTTGTGCAGACTCTTCCGGAACACGGTATGGTCCAATGGCTCGACTTCTCGATGAAGCAGAGCACCAATGTGAAACGCCAATCCTGCATTGTACACAATTCCAAAGGAGAGGCGGTTCAGGATTTGAGTAGTAGATGTAGCTGTAGATGTAGCTGTATCAGTCTTGGTGCGATCCGGACCTTCGGCAATCCAAATGGGCGCTTCAAAGACAAAGTGTGAAGCGCCCTTCAAATCTTCTTCGCTTCTGGCAGATACACGAGCAGCGGCTGGCAGAGGACAGTAGAAGAATTGGTAGTCTGGCAGGAACATGTCGCCATTGTTAGGATCTTCACTGCAGGCAACCAGAACATTGAGAGCATGGACACAAGAAGAAAACAGAGTGGTGGCTCTGCCATAGTCTTTCATCCTGAGCAAACACACAGCGTCATTGTTCTGACTGATTATCTGAGCAACCGTGGCGTGGAGGGAGAACATGGTCAAGAAATTTTTTTTAAAAAGTTTTGCTAGAAGTCTTTTTTCAGATTGCCAAGTTGCGAAATTATGAAACCTTCTCTATTTCTGGCTCAAGAGCTTCTTCCTTTGTACCGGTGCCATGTGCCAGGTGCCAGGTAGATAGAAAGATTGGGTTGCTTGTGATGAGGGCGCTGAGCTCTGATGAGCAATCTGTAAAAAGAGACGCTCTGCAACAAACTGTACTAAGCATATTGGTACTCTACCAAAGTGCACCTGAGACCGCTACTCTGGAGCAGTGGACTTGCGATTTGCATAAGAATCTGATCATGACAGCATGAAGTTCACACGATCCTAAAAGCAGGTGTGCTTAAATCACAATCTTGTGAGAATATCTGAGACTTCTGTCTTTGTCGTGTGAAATAGATTTGTGACAACCAAAGACTTAGTATTCTTGTATCCATAGCTCATCCATTCAGTCTGGTATAAATGGATGATCTTGTACCGGTACATGTTACAAGGCTTGCCTCTCTTGACTCCAAAAAAGTACTTCAGCGGATATCCCAGTTCAGCTGAGTCTAAATTCGAAAAGATCCAAGGATAAGACGCACTGTCTAAAACATACTGAAGCTTGACTGTCCTTACAAAGATCAAAGATCCAAAGATCCAAAGATCCAGCTTATTGCAATACTTCTCGAGATCTCCTAGTTCTTTTGTCATTGTACAGTACTATGTACCGTTACTACTCTGGAGTTTAGGGGAAGCTGAGATTAAAGAAATCGTGCGAAGGAGAACCGTGAAGGCACTTCTGCTCCTTGGACAATGTACCGAGGGTGTAGGGTGCTTAAGTGCTCGCACGTGGCCCAGCCTCAAAACAATAATTGTACATTGCACATGTACCGATAGCTACCAATCGAAGTAGTTTTCCGTACACTAGTAGTCTACTCTACTTTGGTTGCAGTGTAGTAGTAGATGTACATTAATAGATGACATTGTGGTTGTAGTCTACCTTTACCTACATGTATCTATCACCAGTATGGTATCCATGCAGCAATGCATCGTGGAAAACTTTGTTGCAGCCTTCACTGTCAGCTAGTAGGATTGTTATGGCTACTAGCAAGTACTAGTACGATAATACTATTAGTAGTACATGTGCTTGGCTTCCCCTGCTGTACTGCGGCCACACAGGTACCGGTAGCCACATCGTTGGTCTCATCATTGAAACCAAGTAAGGTTGTTGTAAGCTATTGAGACCTACGGTACGCGCTTCCGCCTACATACGGTAGCCGTAAGAGAAAAGCCAGTTTCGATTGGGCGGTCGTGCAGTTTCAACAGGTAGCAACCTGAGTTCTTGTCACTGCTGTGCATAACTCTGAAGAAACCGTTTTGGTGCTCAAGAAGCTACAAAGCAATACGTGGCCACAGCCACTGTCCAGCCATGCTGCTACAAAAGCCGATGTATTGTGCACAGATCCTGCATCGATATCAGCTTCGCAGCCAAGAAGCAAAGTGAACCTTTCAGAAAGTGAAGCAGCCAAGAAGGCAAACAAGTTGTTGGCTGGCGCCCAAGAAGTCCTGCCAGCCACATCAACAATAATGGTTGCGTTCCGTGCATTGCTTTGAAGCAGCAGGCAACTCAACGGTGGGTGTGTAAAGTACCGCTAATGGTAGTGGTACTACCGTACGGTATACTCTTGCTTCTTGTTGGCCCATTTCAAGCAAACAAATTCGCTCCCCGTGCAGTGCAGCCAGTCCAACTTTCTCAGATCACTTCGTCAACCAGACTTCGCAGCACCAGTGTTCAAGTCTGTGAATCTCACTGCCCAGCCCGTTCGAAGGTGGCGCGACAAGGCAGGAAGCACTGCAAGTTCTGGTGGTAGTGCTCATACATGTATGTTCTTAATTATTATTAAGCAATGAAGAGGAACGCCAGGCAATTTCTACGAGGAGATTGCACCTGGCAGCCAGAGCTCAGCCAGCCCTCATGGTACCAGATACGAATTAACTCTCACTTATGAAAGAAGGGAAAGAATAACAAGCACCAAAACGGCGGTGTATAAAGCAGGTCTCAAAACGCCCGCGTGGCTCATGCCTTCTTCCACTATTTCATCGTCCTCCTCTTCTTCTACAAATGGTGGGCATGATTCCATCTTTGTGTCAAACCCATTCACGTTGAAACACACAATCCCTGGACCTTCTTCCATCCCTTCGTATCTGCCTCCATCCGGGACGCCATTGCACAGGGGATCAAAGTTGCCACGGACACAGGTTTTGGACGCAACGTCGCAGGAGCTCTCCACAATCCAACCTGGCGTATGACAGCCTTCGTATCGGCAGCTCTGGGGACACTCACTGCCAGGGGCCTCTGTCAGACGCCAATCCGGACAAGACTCCCACATTTCATAGTCACCACCCAGGCCGACGCCGTGGGCGCCTCGCGGAAAGGTCCCATCGGCAATGGCGTCCAGCTGCTCTCGGACACTTGCCGCCCTGGCCTTCATTGTTGGAAGGAAAGGAAAGTTGGGGATGGAATCGTTCCACTGGGAAGCCTCGGGGGACTGCTCGGCGTCATAAAAGATGCCACCCGCGCTCCAGCTATCGTTTCTTACATCGACATCTTGGGCTTGGATGTGATGTTGGAGTTCTTGTACAAACGTGGCATTGGCATAGACAGTTTCTAAAAACTCCTCCACATACTTCAAATATGTTTCTTGGAGAGTCGCATCCGACAACAAAGGCCCAACCACTGGGTTTTTGGTCAAATGAGAACACGTCGGCTGTACGATGGACCAATGCACCATCTTAGTGTCGCAGGTGGCTCCACAGATAATAGTGGATGGCGAGTTGAAGTCGTAGGGGAATATTTTCCATCCTCCACTTCCTCCGTTGGCTCCTCTCCGGTCTGCAACCAATAGAAATTGTTCCCATTGCCCATGGGAGAATCCATAATGAGCGCGACCGCATAAAAGGCGATCATCTTCAACGTGCTATCTGTGTCCATCCACTCGTACGGATCCAGCGGTTCCGCAAGGGCGGGCGCCGAGGTGACGTCGACGGCTTGGGGGTAGTCAAAGGCACCGGCATCAATAAACTTCTTCATGGGAGAGTCCCAGCTGGAGGAACCCAAGTCCCGGTCCACCAACCCTTCCTCGACGAGCATATCCGCACAGTTCTGGTTGTAGCGGAGGTACGCCAGGGCCGAGTCCGCATCATTGGCAGCAACTGATCCAAAAAAGGAGAAAAAGCACTCCGTCAGGGCCGTTGGTCCCTGCGCAGCAGCCGGCACAACCTTCGACTTGTGCTCGCCTCGTTCAAAGGCATACGGCGGTGTCGCTTCCAAGGAACTCACCAGCCTCGCTTGCGCCGTTTCGAGCTCCTGGTCCGTGTACTGACCACACCCCAGCGCCGTTGTTTTGACCTTGTAGAGCGCGTAGTTGGTGAAGTCGTACAGAGGAAAGTTGCGTTGAAAGACGTAGGCTTGGTCGGGAGCTTCCAGAAGAGTGTAGAAGCCGTGCACTTGATCATTGATGAAGAAGCGCACTTTGCGGGCCCGCAAGTGCGGCAGCCCGAAGCGAGCCGCCATGCGATAGTATGCCCAATCGCGGGCATAGGAATTGTCTCCAAAATGAGATCGCAGATACACCCGCTCCGCCCCAAACAAGGTCTGAGAAGAGTTGGTATCGGAAAAGTCCAATTGAAAAGGAAAGTTCGACGTCCCAATGCACAGGGGCATGTAGAGTGAAAACTGGCCTTTGGGACGAACACGTCCGGGGCTGTTCAATGCCAACACTACTTGGTCGGGCTTGTCCCGTACGGTAACCGTGGCCGACTGGAAGGGTCGATACACTTCGTAGGACGCATTCTGTAACAAGTAGCTGTAGTCGTCCTCGACCATGACCAGGCGCAAGTCCAACACTGTGTCCATTCCGTCGGGTACCGACAGGCCACTGTCGTCCATGTTGAAAAAGACAGCACCCAGGTCGTTCTGGGCGGTGAGTTGCATCTTGAGCGCGGCAATTTGCTCGGCCGTGGATCCCACCGGCGTCAAGACGTTCCCCGCTCCGGGTGTCGGGGTCGAGGTGTATTCGTACCGACCCCTGGTCGAGTCCCAGGCGTAACTCACATCAAACCCGTCCATCACAGTAATGTACGGCAAGGGTCCCGTCGAAGATACCACTTGGTACAAGCCCATCGCCCGGCCCGTGCCAACCTCCACGCTGCTGCTAGCGGAAGACACGGCGGCCAGCGTCACTGTATCTTGACGCCCAATGCCAAATTGCGGAGATTCTTCCATTGGTTCTGATTTGGTACACCAAATCCTGTACTCGCCGGGTTGCAGCACCGTTCCAGGAGGAAAGAAAAAGGCCTGTTCGTTCGTGACGCCCTTATCGTCGTGCAGAACGTAGCCACCGGCAAACAGATCCACCGGGGCCGTGGCATTGGGGTTGTGAATCTCGACCCAATCGCGGCCCAGACACGTCGAGCGACTGCTTTTGGCCGCCACTTCGGTAATCATTACCTCGCCGCGGACAAGACTCGCCCCGTGCGACAACATTAATAACAACCATGATGCGACCGACACCGACATTCGCGCCTTGATCGTCCAGGAAAAAGCAACAACCTTCATGATTCTCTTTTGACGTACTGGAGATGTACTTTGTTATATTTGTGGGATTGTGTATTTGTTTAATTCGCCTCCCAGCTCAAAGAATCATCGCCGCATTGCGATTCTCGACTTTGCTCGGCTCATCGTCGTCATCATCGCTCACTGGAACCGAAACATCGTGACACGTGCTTAGTACTGTTAGATAAGCAATCCCACAACGTGTCACGGAACTGATGAGACTGCACAATTGCAACCGGGAATCCCATGACGAGTCACGGAACCGACGTCCATACTACTCGGTCACAGTTCACCTCCCACGGCTACCTGATAGGTTTCCTACAAAGCCCGTTGTGCTGCCCAAGATCATCAACTCCGACACACCTCGAACAGCTCCTGGAACTGTACTACTACTAGTATGGGTAGTAGCTAGTATCTCCAACCCGTTGAGATGAGCACCTGTGGATCTAGGCAGCCTTCTTCATGGCAAAAAGCAAGATACCAGGTATGGTGGCTACAAGCCAGTCAGATACCCCTAGGAGAGGAGATGATAGTACTATCTTACCAGAAGCAGCAGAGCAAACACCCTTTCCTTTCCCCTGCGCACACTAGCTAGCTGGATCTTTCTACTAGTAGTAGTCAGCAAGGTGCTCCTCTGACATTGAGCTGAACCAGATCTGTCAGGCAATCGAGAATTGAGATTGCTACTGGTTACATGTACTCAGACAACCTCTCAAAAAGCTACATGTACTGGCACCCACGGGCAGTGATGTCTTACATGTATACCAGTGTCGTCCTTTGTGATGATGAGGGCTCTAAAATTAATGCTCTAATAACCGTTTCCTGCCAGGTACTCAGAATTTCTGAGTACCTGAGTCAGAAATCCTTTTTTGAAGCTCGGCTCAACTTCAATGGTAGACTAAAGAGTGAGCTACTGACAGACTCATCAGAAAGCAGACAGCATAATAGACATCCAAAGAGAAAGTAGGATCTAAATAAATACCGGGTAGCTTTTACTAGTATGTCTGCTGGATGCTGCTGCTGCTTACTAAAGTGCTGGTGCTCCATACCGGTACATAGCACTCCAGAGTGCTCGAGTTCTAATTAACTCGAGAACCTTCAATACCTCACTGACCCAGGAACACAACTTCAAATTTTTAATGGTATATTGTTCTTTTCCCCCGTATGATCCTGTTGACCGTGACGGTATTGCCGACCAAGAAGTCGTAGAACTGGAAATAAGCGGTGTTTGCAGATTGCAGAGCTGTTTGCAGTTTGCAGTGTTGCCAACTGTGTTGCCCTAGCTAGCTACTAGCTAGCTGTTGCCCTGCTGTTTTCAAGTTGGATTCGTACAAGTAGTAGTCTTGTAGTCTAGTAGTAGTCTGGCTAGATCGTACCGGTATGTTCAGCTAGTAACAATGTCATGTGTGGCAGTGTACGGTACCGGCACGGTGAAGCGGTGGGTGGCCGGTGGGATTGTAGTCTTTGAGGAGGGAACATTCTTTGCTGCTCCAACTGCCCTTTCTTTTTCGGGTTCTAAACAACCAAGTATCAGCGCAGTAACCAGTCAAGTGAGGATATAAAGACAAAGGCACGATGTCTGACGCAAGCAGCTCGAGATATAGAAATAAATAAGGAGATGAGGTGGATAGAAGTGTTGTCTAAAGGAATTATGAAACTCTGGATTGAAGTCATTGAGCTTTTGGAAGCCGAAAGAAGCTTTCTTGGCAATTGGAAGATACAGTATCGCAGGCAGTCACTTCGTGGTCAAGTTGGTTTTCTTCCCAACACCGTCACGTCTTTTGAAATTCTCAATGACCTCGACCCCCACCAGCCACCTGACATTACATAAAATCTCATTTCCTCTTTTTTCTTCTGTTTGCCCAGCATATTATCTTATCTTTTTATTGACCATGGGTTTTTTCTCTGATCCCGCGAGTGCCAGTGTGGAGGTATCTATGGAATTGTTATCAGTGGAAGCGGACCCTGACTCTCCTGGGACTCCCACCAGTAAGAAGAGCCAACGGCCTCGTCGCACCAAGTCGATGGACCAGTCGGCTCTGGAAAGTCCACGAATGCCGGCCAAGATCCGCAATCTGCGTCACAGTAGCATCAGTAACAAGATGCCTTCGGTCTTTCGGGACAGTGCTAGCATGGGCACTAGTAGTGGCCCGAACAGTCGAAGAGGTAGCATGGCCGATGGATCCATGAACTCTTCCATTGGCGGGTCATCCTCTATGCAAGACCACCTAGAAGACATTGAAGCCTTTTGCAACGTCATGAAACAAACGCCAAGCAAAGAACGAAATCGTATGCTCAAAGAATCCATCAATCACAAAGAACAACGAGGGCGAAAAAAGTCCATGAGACGAACCAAGTCCATGGATTAACTCTTATACCCATTCTCTGATCTTATCTTGACTTGATTTGACTTATATCATCTACTTGTTCCTGCAAGAGTTTTGGAAACCGCACAAAAAAGACTTCAACCCTCATCCCTCTTTCATTCATGATTTATAGATACCCTACCGTACCGTACCAGTAAAGACCTAATAAAAACTATAATAACCAATGGTATACTTGTGCAGATATACCACATCGTACCGTACCGTACCGGTACTACATGGTACCTGGTACCAGTAGCCAGATAGTACCTGTTTCTTGCGGATCAATTGAAACAGAAAAGTCAGGTCAGAGGGCTAGAGGAAGGAAATTGTGGCGACGACACCGTGTTGGTCATGCTTCGTCCCTCGTTTGCCCTTCATGCTTCGTCCCTCGTTTGCCCTTTACGGTAGCATGAGAGACAGACATGCTTACCGTACCTCTCGAGGTTGATGCTCGAAGTCGTGGTCCCGTTCCCCATGGCTACCGTACAACCATATATTATGCAAACAAGAATACTACGACCCTTCTATGTTCTTGGGATCATCAGCTGGTTAGGCAATCAGCCAACACTACCAATTTGAAGGGGTATCAGGTGCGAAAGCTCATCACACGCCCCTGGGCTCTGAACCTCTGGGGGAGCGCCGCCTCACCTGCACCTCTGCGGTATCGCACGTACGGTACCTCTCCGATACGATACATCGGGATATCCTCAGGAGCCAATTGCAAGCACCGGCACCGGTAGCTCGTCAAGTACGGTAGACATTCAGGAGACTCTTGAACGTGGCTCCCAAACCTTGAAATGTGGTGGACTTTGGTTGTTGGGGTCAAGATATGGACTGCTGCGAGACACACAACGTAAATACAGCTAAGCCGGCTGTTTTCTGAATGTTTTCCAAGACTGAAATACTCCTGATTTAGAATGACGTGGCAGAATGCCTAAGAGAGTCAGAAGTATCGTAGCGTTCTGTCTTGTGATTCTCATATTGTCTGAAGTGACAGACAATGACATTGTGATCACCAATAAATCGAAGTGTTTCATTAGATAGTCGTCGTTGGAATCGTGTCAATAGTCTTATAGTATTAGTCACATCTACTTGTACAAAACCAACGGATTGAATTGAAAAAATGTGTTACCTGTCACAGCCAGCAGCGAGGCCTCCGAAATGGCTGATGTGACGTGGTTGTTAATTGTTCCCGACCAGAATCACCAGATTGCTCGCGAGTCTTTCCTGCCATTTGACTGGCCAGCCATACGATGGCCCTGCAGTACATGTAAACACATCCAGGAACCAAGGAGTGTTGGTCTTGCCAGAAGCTGGTGGATGCTTTTTGCGGCTTTTCTTTACATTTCCAGCGTCTAGCCAATAGGCTTTGGCTTGCTGGCCGCCCAAGGCTAGCGAAGATCTTGGAAAAGTGTGGGTGGGTTTATCAGGAGTCCGAGATCACAGGTTCCTCCTTCGAATTGTCAAGGAGTCGAGTCATCCTCGACTCCCATCCAGCACCCAGCCATCCGCACTCTAGATGGCACGGGCAGTTCATTAGGAGTAGGTAAAACCAGGTACGCGCGCCTCATTGTTCCATGTCGAAGTAGTGCAAGATTTGGGAACAGCGTGGGATTACTTGGAGCTATCTAGCGCACAAACCCAGAGCTGTTACCCGAACACTGAACTGAGCAGCCGGGGTGGAAGAGGCCGAAAGCTTTAGACAAAAAACAGAACCAGTCGTGTACCAAGAATCCTTGGTCGTGTACCAAGAATCTTTGGTCGCGTACCTTTATTATGCAGTCGTGTACCACGGTACTGAGTACAGTCACATAGGTTCGGAGGTGCGTGTAGGAATCTCGCGAAGAGACACCATTGTCATCTTGGTTGGCTGCCCAAGCAGTTCAGTTGATTGACTGGCTCTTGTGACTGCTTCCCTCATAACCCTAGCTCTATCTTTCCGTTGCAGTCTAAGCAAGCCATGTCGGGAGAACGTTGTGGGTGGGTGAGGTGTGAGATCTAGAGTCTAGAGTCTATGAGTCGAGTCAACTTGTAGTCTAACTAGCTAGCTAGTAGTCAATAATGGCCAGAGACGACAGATGAGAAAGTTTGCTATCAGTCATACAAAGGCTTCTTCCTTCCGTGGCACCCGAGAACTGTCGGCCGCCTCGAAGTCTTTATGTCAGTATCTGTGGGGTCTGTTCTCGTAAAATGTCTACCTCTATAAGTAGCCAAGTGTGGCGTCTTATGACCGCTACATTATTTAGGGCTCTCTTATTTTAGGCTTCTCATTCCAATTTTTACACAGCGTGAGCATTAGTAGACAGTGGATCGCCAGCTACTCAGCTGACCAGCAGGCTATCGCTATCTATCATAAATAGTAGCCCAAATAAATTTGCTTTGCGATCGAGACTATTAGGCACCAAGATGAGCAATCCTAGTAGAGCTCAAGAACCAGCAATACGTCTTCCTCCCACGATTTCGCTCTGCATTGATGCACAGCGTCAACGTTTCCCAGGGTTGCTGCACATGGTGCTATCCAGGGCATCTTCCGGTATTGATCCAGACACAGGTGAGTCCGTTTTCCCTAACCCCAAAAGGGATGATTCCTATGGAGGGACTATCCTCATTTGAGTGACTGTCAGTACCAGTATCATACAGGTTGGACTCATGAACAGCCTTCATTCTGCGCGTTGCTCTGGTTCCGACAGAAGCTATTGTGTCCTTTCAGGATCATGGCCGGGCCTTCAGGATCCACAACCAAGAGCAGTTCTGTGAAAGAGTGCTACCAGTGTAAGTTGTGTTCATCTTTTCCACATTGAAGCATCATCATGTTTATCATCTGAAGACTAAAGTCACTGCATGTTCGGCCCTGCATGATTGATCCAAACCAGTCTCTTCTTGGAAGCAATGTCATGGAATGACTTCTTGGAGCAGCTCAGGCGATTTGGTTTCCGGCGTCTAACCAATGGTAAGTTCACATGAGCCTACTCATGAGTTTTCAGTGTCATGCAGCCATTCACGAGTTCATAGCTCAAAAAGTCACCTATTGGCCTTCCCTTTTGCTGCACAGCTGGTCCGGATCAAGGAGGTATGATAGGTTCTGCTCTGCTTCCCGTTTCATCACCTCTGGATAGCCAGCTCACTCCACCCTTGACCGATCACCTGACTATCAGCCTTCTACCATCTTCATTTCTCGCATCACCAACCACAGCTTGCAGAACACATTGTGTACAATGAGACGGAGATTGCTCCCTTGGATCGACCTGGTCCAAACTTGGCCTTGATTCATCCGACTCCCTAGCATGCCATGGTTCCAGCGCAGAGGATGATAGCAGATCCAGTTCCTGGGGCACCCACCCTCCTTTCTGGAGCTTCAGTGTCTCAGTTGTTCATGCAATCAATGATGACAAAAATCCTCCTGCTGGAACTGAGGAGGATTTGGTGGATCATGGGCATGGTACGGATTTCCTCGGGATGCCCGATTGATCAATGCACAAAAGCAATCCCAGTGCACACTACCGGTACCAGTACATGGTAGCTAGCTAAAAACCTGTTTTTTGCGGAACAGACAAGGAACGTACCTTAGGGAGCAAGAGAGCCGCAATTTTGGTGTTAGGACTCCTGCATGTTCTCCGATAATGACCACTACATACCAATACCAAATATGTGCCGGATGAATTCCGGCCGAATAGAGTGCACGAGGTTGGCCTTCTCGAATGCCGTATCCATGAGTGAGGAGCCACAAAACCACCTCCAAATCAGCCATCGTGCATCCTTTTTTTTAAAAAAGTTGTTGGAGGTCCGCAAGGCTGCCTCGTAGTATGGAAGAACCCGCACAATGAATTTGTCGCCTCTCGCAATGTCTCGGACGAGAAAATGGAGGCCCAAGAGCTGGCCAGAGTCATTGAAGATTCGCTCTGCGCTCCAGGTGATCCTGTGGAAGCTGTTCCTGAATACATCTGCCTTCGTTTTGGTGGGCAGTGGCAGTTGTCCTCGTCCCTCGTTTTCATGGCAGCCTGCCTACTAGGACACACTTGGAAAAAAGCTACTCTACCGTACTGGTACATGGTACCACACATTCATTTTACCGCTGCGTCAATCAAAATCAAATCGAATCGAATCGGAATCGAATCGCTCTCATCTTGACTTCAGCTGCCAGCACGTACAGTACAGCCATCAGGGCCTGACCGTTGGTCTACCAGACCTACGACACCAGTATGCCATCCTTCCGACACCACTGAGACTATGATCCCTCTTCGTTCTTGCAGTAATCAACTACGGTTGCTAGGTAGCCTGCCAATTGGGAGGTAATCTGTTGGACCACACTACCCGTTTGAAGGTCATCATGGTTGGTCCGCTCATCCAATGCACTGCCCGGGCTCTGCACCTCTGGCGGGGCCTCTGCGGTTCGCACGAACCGCACTTCCAATACCGGAATACAATCCCGCACCTCCAATTCTACGTCCTCAAGGAGCCCAGTACGGTAACGGTAGCACGTCCAGTAGGTACGTAGGTACTCAGGAGACTCTTGTTGGCTCCAGATGTGGACTTGAAGAAATGTTGTGGATTTGGTTGTATGGATTTCGACAAGTCTATTTAACGTAAACACAGCTCTGTCGGCTTTAATTTCAATCTTTCCAAGACTGATTGGTTCGTGATTCACAATGACGTGGCATTTTGCCCAAAGGCTTCATCACAAGAATGTGATTGGGAAAGCCTGAGTCATTTCTGTCTTTTTGTTAATTCATTCCTGTTGCCTTTGCGGGGCATACATCTGTGACTATCAATCGAAAGGCGGCGGCATGGCGGCATCCAAGTCCTTTAAAAAAGGAGCCGCTACAATGTTGCTTCTCTTTAGTTTACGTGCAATGTCCATAATATGTCCCGAGTACATGCACTGTAAAATGTCTGACTAGTACTTGGAGTACGACTTATCGAGTACTGTTAACTCCGAGTAGTACTAAAGAGTACTACCGTACTATTCAGCTACCGGTACAGGTACCTGGTAGCTAGTTACGGGCCTCTACGTCTCTACGTAATGCGCGGTTCTCATTTCAAATTTATTAGTGTCACCCCATTCACTTCCGCAAAAGGGCGTGTTGTCAATACGGGTTGCCTAGCTAGCTACTAGCATGCATAGTGGGCGAAATATGCCTTGCAACGATACTTTTTAGGGACCAAGATGAGCAATCCTTCTACTAGTAGCAGTACCGGTACTCCTGCACTGCATGATGAACTGCGCCAACGTTTCCCAGAGCTGCTGCACATGTTGCTATCCTGGGCACCTTGCGGTATTGACGCTGAGATAGGTGAGTTGAGTGTCAGTCATTCCCCTAGCTCCGGACTCCGAACCCCAGAAGACCCCAAGGTTGGATTTGGTGCGGACATTCCGCGTGATCATAAGGGTGAAGGGACCATCCTCATGTACTTTGCTTTGCTTTGGTTACCACAGAAGCTATTGTGTCCTTTCAGGATCATGGCCGGGCCTTCAGGGTCCACAACCAAGAGCAGTTCTGCAACAGAGTGTTACCAGTGTAAGTCCTGTGCATTCTGTTGCGTACACGAAGCCATGGATTCAGCCATCATCCCATTTATCATTTGAAGACTAAAGTCACTGCATGAACCAAGTCTCTTCTTGGAAGCAATGTCATGGAATGACTTCTTGGAACAGCTCAGGCGATTTGGTTTCCGGCGTCTAACCAATGGTAAGTTCACATGTTCACATGAGCGTACTCATGAGTTTCAGTGCCATGCAGCCATTCACGAGTTCATAGCTCAAAAAGTCGTCTCGTTGCCCTCCCTTTTGCTGCACAGCTGGTCCAGATCAAGGAGGTACGGTATGATAGGTTCTTCTCTGCTTCCCGTTTCCTCACCTGCCTTTGGATAGCCAGCTCACTACACCCTTGCTTGACCAATCACCTGACTGTCAGCCTTCTACCATCCTGGTTTCTTCCATGGCCACCCACAGCTTGCAGAACACATCGTGTACAATGAGATGGAAGTTGCTCCCTTGGATCGTCCTGGTCCTACCTTGGCCTTCATGCACCCGACTCCCCAGAATGACATGGTTCCAGCTAACCAAAGCAGTACTGTTGCTGAGAGCGTTTCATCCCAAAACCGAATGATGGAAGGCCCAGTTCTTGGAGCACCAACCCTCCCTTCTGAAGTTTCTTTGGCTCAGTTGCTCGTGCAATCAATGATGACAAATAATAATCCTCCTGTTGGAGCTTGCAGAGCGTATTGGACTTCACCTAAATGATCGCATGCTCGAACCATCGTCTGCATCATTTCTATGCCGGGATGCTCTTTGACTACGCAGTGTGCAAGCAAAAGCAATCCAGTGCACATAATTCGATTTTGTCCCTTGTCTCGGACGTTCATGCATGCAATCAATAATGATAATATATAATCCTCGTGTTGGAACTGCAGCTTATCATTTCTTGATCCATGTGTGCCAAAAGCAATCCCATTGCACACGATTCGGTTTGGTACTTTGTGGCAATGGTTGCTTGCAGCTTGATTAGGTGTAGGGAAAGATACTTATGCTTGGCCCTGCTTGTCTCTTCGAGAGCTTGATTCGTCGATGCTTTAGCTGCCTCATGCATGTATCTGTACTCTAATGAAGCGATTCTGCTTTTAAAAAAGCAGAGCCAGGGCTCCGTACACAGATGGCTGCTTGTGCAGCGAATATCGGCAAGCAAAACCCACGTCTAAAACAAAAAATAGTTTCTTCAATCGATCTATACCTAGAAATTTGAGATTCACTTGCTCTACATTAGTACTAGCTAAACTCGCAACTTTTGACATACACTTAGCCCCGGTCATCCCAAATATCTCACTGACTATTGCATGGAAATTCCTGCGCTGTTTGTAGCTTCGATTTCCTTGGACTCTCCTCCAGCAAATCGGCTGCCGGGTGTGAAGCCCGCCTCGACTGGAGCTGAGCCTTCTGTGGGCGACATGTTATCGCGATGTTGTTCAGACGTTGAGAGCCACTCGTCTTCGTCTTGCTCTCGCAACTGGCTGTACAACGTTCGCAGATCGGTCGCTTTATCTTCCAGACTCGCAACCTGGCTTTTCCAATCTTCTAACTTTTGTTGGGGCGACTTTCGTTTGCCGCTGGTCACGTAAGTGTTCATGTTATTGGGATGCGACCACAAACTACCGGCGGACCCATGATGCGGGTGAGATAAGGCTGATACATTGCTCTGTTGCCCAATGCTCATCTTGCGATGTCGGTATCTTTCAGGAGCGGCCGTCAAACGCTGTTGAGGGGGTGCTGGAGGACCAACCGCGGCGGCGGCAATGCTTCCCAGTCCAAGTTTGGCAAAGGCGCCGAAATTGAATATGTTG